TGTCAACGGAATTTCTAAAAAGAATGCTTAAAAAACCTGAGCATAAAAAAGAAAGAAAACATAAATACGATAACAATACCGTTTATTGAGACGAATGCCGCTCCTAAAAATCAAACCCGCGACCATAAATCACTATCGGTATTCCTATAACTCAACTTCTTCGCATTCCGAAAGAAAATATCGCACCCGAATTCCGCTGACAGCACGAAAAAGAAGCGAAAAAGAAAGAAAAAGACGAGAACCCGAGACCCCGCCTACTCGACAGGTGAATGCGTATGCGCGGCCAGGGCCGATACGTGGAATACATTTGCGCGATATTGATATACAATGGCGGCTGACAGCGCCATCTAGGGAGCGAATTTATGGTTGTGGGCATTCTTTTGCCAGGGTTATTCGATATGCGTCAAGATAGCTGAGTCCTTCATGCTACAGCGAGGAATCTCTAAGGACCGATGTTAATAAGCATAGTAAAACGTTTAAAAAGCATTTTTAATATTCACTTTCAACAAACAACTAACATGCAGGTTGAAATTACATTATACACTGTTTCTAATTCACGCGTATTAAACAACGCGAAATATACGAGTCACGAAATAGTGTTACCAACGGCCCGATGTTTGGGATGCTTAACAGCAGCCGTGATTAAAATAAATTTGTAAACAACTAGTATGTTTCAAGTTTTAAACCGTTAAAGTGTTTTATTTTAACGTGCACTACTAGCGTAAACTACAGACAGTGTAATTTCAACCTGCATGTCAAAATGCAGTGTAATTTAAAACACATTTGAAGGTTTAAAAGGCGAAGAGCTTTTGAAACGTAGCGCCGTAATTAAAATGAATTGCAAATAACTAACTAAAATTTTCTACTACTACCAATTTATCTAAAAAGTTGCAATAATTTTATTGATTTAAAGTTACTTTTACAATAATTATTTAGGAATAACGAGTTTTGTAGTTTACGAGACTTAGTTCAAACTAGATTGAACGTTTTAAAAGTATTGCAAAGAGTAAGTGCTAGTCAAATTTTGTATCTTCTGCACTGATTAAGCGATCATGAAGTAATTTTCTTTTGTTTCCCTGAATCCTTTCAAGTTTAATGCTCTGCGAAAATCATTGGACGGCAAACGAGTACAGAGAATTAATTAATGTTAAACAATTAATACAATATAAGATTTAAAATAACTCATTGACCCAACAGTAAGTGAATTGAACGATGACTATAAATTATAATGTACGTAGTACAAATCATAGTCTTCAATTACAAACAAATATGTACTTTCAAATACTGTCTATAGTTTACGCGGGTAATACACATTTAAATAAATCATTTTAAACGGCTTAAAACGCCAAATGTATTTACTTCACGGCTGCTGCAAAGCATCAAGTGTTAGCATATATACTTAAGCCAATTAAACAATGGGAAAACATACATTTTTCTATTGATCGTTCACGTGTGGCCTAAAATGGTCATTCCACTTTATGGAATTAGAATTAAAACAATATTTTCTCGTTCTAGAATCGTTCTATAGGTCAGCATTTGAGAATCATTTTAGAATTGTTCTGTACTTAGGTGAGTATAATGTAACAAATGTTCTACAAGTAGAATATTTACCCAAAGTAAAGTGTTTCTAGAGCTAGAATTCTCAATAAAGAATCAACAATCTGCATAATCCCTTCGCCGTTTAAACATTGAAACTCAAACAATAGAGGGCGTGACTAGCGACCAGCAAACAGACAGATAACGCTAATATTTACATTACTTTAGATAAGACCGCTTTGTCTTGCTGTTAAGAAGCGAATTCTGTACTCAATATGTATCTGCGAATTAATGTGATAGCTGCCTATAAAAAGCTTTATTAAGACGGCTATAGGAAAAGAACGCTAATAATTTTATTGGATACAAAATAAATAAAAAAATAAAAAGTTATGAAGAGCGGTAGTCAAATCAGTAATTTATATAATTGAAAGAAACATTATTTACTTGCCATTATAAAAATAAATGGACGTTAAATATCAATTGAATTTTAAAATATCATCAATCATGGATTAACGCTATGTGAAAAATTTCAGGTTCGAAGTATAGTGAGAAAAAATCTTAGAAGTACAGATTTCTTGCTGTGGTAAAGAAATGAATGAGAAAAATTTAGCTTTTTCCGCGTCATATAGAATTGAAATCACAATAGGACAGCGACGCCAGATGGCGTTATTTCGGGATTATAAAATTCTTATAATTTGAAATTATAACGAGGAATAAAATATTTGTGCAAATTATACTTCAATCTGCGTTAAGGCACAAATAAATCGAAATATGGTGATCTTCGGACAGTGCATCCAATTTGGGATTCGATCTCATTACCATAACGCAAGTGCATCGCAAGCATTCTCTGCAATGACCATACGCTACACACAGTAGAATCGCTCGGTAAACAACTGTGTCATTAATTATGTCATTATATAATAACATATTTAATAGCATTATATGTTGGTAATACTATAATGCTCTTAAATATATTATTATAAATTAAAAATCTACTATAGATTGAAAAAAACTTGCGACACGGGCAGGACTTGAACCGGTATCCACAGCGTTCTATTTTGCTCTAACCGACTCAGCTACCGTGTCCTACACGTCATCATGGAATTTTTTTCAAGCATTGATACTTGCACCTCTTGTAATTTTTTTTAATCTATAACTTTTTATGGTTGATATGGTGCCATCATGTGGAAAATATAAAACATTTTTTTTGAGAATACTATTACATTCGACATAAGGTAGATGTGGCTACATTATTTTTTCCGATTGCTGTGTGAACAAAAGAAAAAAGGTACTACATAATTTAATAATACACTATCTCGGTATTATCTTTCACAGTTCAAAATAACGAAAGTACTTTATCAAATATGACACAAGGTGTACTTTAAAAAAAACATCTATTAAATGCGACAAAGAGTTTAATTCATGTAAAATCAATCGTACGTTTTAGCTGCCCGCTCTTTACGACCGTGTGTCCCCGTACTATTTTATAACGTATTTAGATGCATTAAGGGTCATCTTTAACTCGGGAATGTCGATTTCATTACCATATCGTCGACACTCGAGCCCAGACGCTGTACAGAGCTATGATGCGGTTAGATTGCACTTTCAATAGATGCGACACATTTGCATATTCTTCTTCAGCTCACTTAAGGAAAACTCGTAGAACAAACGGTTTTTATATGACGCCAACTATAAATTTGTAAATTTCGACATAGTAGTTCATCGTAGCCCTTTCATTTGATTGAGGGGGTTAAGGAAAAGTATGTAGTCGGCCATTTTGTATCGACGGCCATCTTAGATTTATAATCTTATTGGTTCTATTATATTGTATTGTCATCTAAATTAAATGTGTGTCCACTAAACCAAATTTCAGATCAATCTGACAACGGGAAGGTGCTTAAATTTCACTTTTTTAATGTTAACCCAAATAAATAAATTCCGTACGGGTCGAGCTAAATAAAACTGTTTAAAAAAATACGAGAAGTGCAAATATCAATAAGTTGAAAAAACATTTGCAGAGCAAGAGTGCCCGAGTCGAAAAAAAAATGTTTTTTAATTGTTTTCGATTTTTTTTAAACCATGCATATAAATGCGAAAGAGCCTGTTCGATCGTTAGAGTTACGATTATAATGCCTTATATTTTAGACATATGTTTTGTATTACAAGCATACAGACAGCACGGGATTCACGTGATTATTAGAGTTAATTATTTTACCAAATACGAACTTCCGCGGGACAGATGGCGCTAGCGTAGCAGATTTTTACTTTGACGTCTGAGACACCCTCTAACTTTAGTCTCCCCGTGATCACGGCTGCTTCAAAGCATCCGAACCGTTAGTTAAATAGCTTTTAAAATATTTTAACAATATATATCGCGTTTTAAACCGTTAAAGTGTTTTATTTAAATCTATCAAATACTATATATACCCGAAGATTAATCGCGTTTCGATTTCAGTCAGTGTATTTACGAACATCCAAAACGAAATTAGTTCGACGCCACCTTTTTTAGATGTATTAGCTGTTGTATTTCTCCTACCATCAAGGGAACCGTGCTTACCATTCCTTAATCCCAAAAACAATACATCCTTAAACCAATTATAAAGGCAAGGTGGAATGGAACAATATAATAGATGCAGCGATTGGGCGAGACGTGGAGTACCACATTTTATCACGGCCTAATGATCTCTGGCGTAATGAGGAAGGTGGGAACAGCAATAAGGCATTTTGTCCTGCTGTAATGGAACGTGTCAACGCTGCGGTGGAAAAGTCGCCCCCTATTAACGTCCTGGGAAATTAGAGAAAGCATTTGCGAAGATAATGTACTGCTGCGGTGCTGCTCCATTTTAACTTTGCGCTTTCGGTTCGATCTGTATTCTGTGTGACATAAGGCAATTGTATTACAAACGAAAATAGTTTATTGTCACTATAAAAATCTTACAGAATTAAGATTGAAGATGTTACGAAAATATGTAGCGAGGAATGGTGGTCTTATCGAAGAAAAGTGATTTATTCATTATCATTTAAAACGGTTTAACATGTTCTATATTACTGTTTGATACATAAAGAACAGACAATACTTAGTTAATTCATTGTTCACTGTGACCAGACATTTTGGACGCTTTATCGCAATTAACCTAATATATCTCGTTTTAAACCGTTAAAAATCTTGTATTAATTCCTTGAGTTAACATCATATTTCGCGTTTAAAACCGTTTCAAATATTGTACATTGTTTAATTAATGTTAAATTGTTGTTTCCGATGTGCACTAATTGCGTATTTCCTTGTTTGTTTTTATTCCGTAAACTGGAGATTTTTTAATGGTGGTGACATCGAAATTCTAAGTTTTTAAACGAGCCAATGGTTAAAGTTTCAATAACCTGTCTACAACGAACAGATCAAAGAACTCATCCCGATTACAATTACTACTTAAACGCCATTATAACTAGCTTTAGTATAGTTCCAAATGGATATGAAGCCATCTGACACAACGTGAGTCGTTTATCTCGAAGAGTCCTGTTATGGGCCGGCCCTAAATAAAGGAAAAGGACTATTGTCCTTTAGCGATCGCATGTCGCCGTACGCAGAATGCGACTCGTTAAGTCGCAGTGGACGCGAATTTAAGAGACAGCTTCTAAATATTGCGGCGTGCGCATGCGTCCAAGATCCGTATCGCGGGCACAATACCGTCACGACGCGGACGGTAGCAGAAATATGGACGCACGCCGCGCCTCCTTGTTTTATGGTAATGCGGGGGCTAGCGGAGAGTATCGCGCCCTGATGGAAGACCAGATACCGGCTTTTTAGGCTCATCACATGATGATTGCTTCGGACTAAATTAATAACAAAATATGGGTCAAATTATTCAAATGCAAGTGTTGTCTGTAATTTACGCGTGTACTATTTTTAAATTAAGCACTTTACTGATATCAAAACAAGTGGCGCTAGCGTAGCAGATTTGATCGTGACTTTTCCACATCTTCTATCTATCTTCAGGCCTCCGATGAATGCTGCAAAGCTTACGAAATGTCGGGCACTTAATTAAATTAGAAAAATAATATAACAATATATTTCGCGTTTTAACCTGTACAAAGTGTTCTATCTAAACGGATGCGTTTAGCGGGCTAGTCAATTACTTCGAGAGACACCCGATTTATTCAAATCTAGGCACTCTTAAAACTGAACATAAATTTCTACTATACCTTTTCTTCTTCTTACTTCTATAGAGCTTAAGACAATCTAGTAGTACCTACCTACTAGTTTATAAAAACTATAAAGCCGATTACCTACTTGAAAATGCATTGCAAAAAGAATATACAGGAAGTAAGTAAAGGAGCAAAAAAAGTAGCAAGAGATATAAGCACACATCAAAACTATGCATCCCAAATAAGCACCGCTCTCGTACTCGCAAGTGGCGCGGGCGCATCGCGAAGTATAATGAATGTGGGCTCATCGCGAGCCCGACGCGTACCCGAGCGCTATCGAGCTGTCGATCTGCAGGTGAAATTCCGAAGCCTAATAAGTCGCCCGGTCTCATTTGTGTCTCGAAAAAAGGACACAGATAAAGGAGACGGCTGATAATTTAGGGTCATTGTTTCGCCTTTTAATTTATGGAGTGCGGGCGGACGATTGATTCGTAGGTCCGAGGGTATAACGATAATCTTTAAATCCGGGTGGTTGGGATTACCGTCTCGACGCGTCAAACGCGCGGAAAACTCAATTTATTCCAGGCATCTCGATATACATACAATGCTGGGGTGGATTTAAATGCACGATAGGATTGGCCGGTGGCACTGGGCGTCGCTGGCCATATACGAACATTCGTGATGCACATATTAAGTTAGGCTCTACATGGGACGGGATCGGATATGGAGGAATTACGAGATAGGCACCGATGATGTCCGCGATCGTGAGTGTCCCTCTTCTGCGCCACAATGGGCGAGACTAGAGCAAAGTTATTAATGCCCACGGGCGCTTGCGCACATCGAGACGCGGGTGGCGAATACCTCTAACGTATAATTCACTCCGCGTCTTCCGCGATCGCAAAACAATGAACCAAAGCAAATATTGGCTCATCAGCACGAATTCGAAACTAAAAGCCGTCAGGCCATGAATCTCAGTAGATTTATTCTGAGCCCTCAACATCGGATTAGCATTAATTGGAACGGCCGATCCGAGATTTCACCTCCTATAAATGGCGCGAAGGTTTATGGTATCGAGAGGTGCGCTGTCGCCGTCAAGTGCGCCCGCGCAGTCTTGTAATTGGTCGGCCGCGGGTGACATTTACACGCGAGCAAGATGGCCGTCGATGCGATACGATTGACAAATAAGCTCGTTATAGTTTGACGTCGGATCCAATATTGGCACAAATCCAGGGTCTGCTTAGTCATGGATACAATGGGCTGTATATAATCGCTGGATAATAATTCACGGTCACACTGGTAAGACTAATTCGCCAGTTTAAAACGTAGATATGGTATTTTTATGCATTTATATACTCGCCTGAAAACAGTGCTACACCTACAACATATTTTAATAAAACACTTTAACGGTTTAAACACAAACTTTTTGAAAATGATTTTAACTATGGCTTCACGTCACGGTCTCCCTGTGATAAGATTAACTAATATATAACGCGTTTTAAACCGTTGAAGTGTTTTATTTAAACGTGTTTAATATAGCAATTTCATAATCTTAAGTTTCACTTTAAATACTGTAAGGTTTACCTATCAAAAATCTGTTGACTGGCCGCAGTAATTATAGATCGAGTAGTGAAATTAGTAGTAACTCCGCGTCCGTGTCTCCGCAGAATAGACTACAGTCAACAGGCTTATTAGCAAGATACGTTTATAGTTGGCTAGCATGCAATACCAATTATGGAGGTTCAATGCATCTAAGCCACGTGATCTAATGACGAACAAATACCCTTTGAAAATAACAAACTATTCGGAAAAGAAACGCAGAGAATCGCATCGGAAAGATTTTTAGTAAAAAATCTATATACTTATACGTTAAATAATATTTACGACAAGGTCGGGACATGAACCGCCTTTCACAAGGTTACGTGCCGCTGCTCTAACCAATTGAGCTACCGTGTCCTAAATTATCTTCTTCGTGTCTTATCTTTTAATACCTATTTATTTATATTATCTACTATGTTGTATCTCTCTCATCTCTGTATCAATGGTAAAAGCTGGCTATGTCAACAGTCAAATATGTATCGTTGATTTGAGCTATCATTTATCTTAACTAAAATTTAAACATTATATTTTTTCATATTATACGTTTCTCGGGGAGACACGCACAGCCCCGGTTACTGCAAAGCATCCGAAATGCCGGGCCGTGGTTAAAATCATTTTCAAGTTCTACTTTAACTAATATATATCGCGTTTTAAACCGTTGTACTACTCGCGTAAACTACAGACAATATTAGACATTATAGCTTTTTGTGTATTCGAAGAGTTAGCGTAAAATGTCATAAATTTTCTTCATTCTATATAGATTGATAATTTATCTTAATTGTTTTTTTAACAACATTAATGCAAAATATAGTTTATAAGGCTCATAAATTTCTTAAAACTACATAAAGCCTTTAATCTTGCATCATTTTGGTCAGTTTGTCAAGAGCGTTAGTCGAAGAGCTAATCTTGGACGTAACACCTACACGGAGAGATAAAAAACAAAGTGTTGATAAAGGGGTGTGATGGATGAAGAGGGTGGCGACACACTGGCGACGTAGTGACGGATAGCCGTCCTGGAGATACATCAATCATCAGAACACATCAGCGAGAGAGCCCTTGAATTTAGCGATTTGAGAGCTTTTCATATTTTGCAGTAATCAATATTGTTATGCATCTTGAGTAGCTCCTAAGATATAATACCTATAGTGAAATATTATACTCATATTTTCTTGTATATAATTCTAAGCAAATTAGAAACGATGAACAAACATACAGTTATAGTTAAACTCAGTGTAACCTACTTTTTTTTAAGGTCACGTTGTTGTATTAAAAACATTTCTTTTATTTTTTCTCTTTTTATCTTGTTCTTACTTTTATTTATCGTTCAAGAACGAAACGAAAAGGAAATTTAAACACATACCCAAAACAAGTCTTTACTATTTATTAGAGATGGGTCGAGTGCTCGGTTGGTACTCGGTACTCGGCGTACTCGGTGGGTTTTTTGATACTCATACTCGGCCGAATAACTCGGTTATATCTTGTTATTAGATAACGAGTTTACTTTGTGTAAGAAAAACAACATATTTAGATAGATATAATTAAAACAATAGTGTTAATACAAAAGTATTTTATTACTAATATAGAAAATTTTTGAAAATTTCAAATAATAAAATCAAAACTATGCTAATAAATGAGTAGTCTTGACCGGCGCGAACCTGTTTTTATTTGTTTATACGCGCGAAGTGGGAATTTGATTAAAGCGAGTTAATCGGCCAAGTACTCCGTTAAAAAAATTGAACCGAGTAAAACTCGGTACTCGTTACTCGGCGCATCTCTACTATTTATAGTTCTTGTGTACTTCTCTGCATCTAAATCTGTTTAGTAGATTTTTCCTCAAAATGTTAACAAACTTCAATAATATTGAACCTATGATAAATACGTACATTTTAGCAGATACATCATCTTTTAATGGCTACTTAAAATATTTGATATCTTATCGATCTATCTGCGCCTGCGACGCATCATGATCGATTGGTACAACTGAGCCAATATTAACGTTCCCATAATTGTCATTTTAAAGTGGGATACGAAAACGAGTTTTTCTTTAATCGAAATTTATTTGTTCAGAAATAACATTTCCTTTATTTAAGGTAGAGTACCTTCTTGTAATATATTAGTTAAAACAACTATTGTATTTCAATGAAAAATGTCTTAGATTGAAATAAGTCGTTGCCACGGGTGGGACTTGAACCGAAATCTAATTTCGTCGAACCATGGATACATTCATTTCACGCGCAATGTAATTTCAACCTTAACACCTTAATAAAATAAACAATAAACAGTTTGAATAGAATTTTGATTGAAAAAAGTGGAAACTAAGATTAGTTGAATTAACAACTATGTAATGAAACACTTCATAGTAAAGACTAACCTTAGTATTTAAGTATTTGAAAACATCTATTATATAGTTTGCGTAATTTATGAAATTTAAAATAAGTGGACTGAAGGTATATTTTATGTTAAATGTTGTACCATCAAGAGATTGAATTATGACGACAACATGCGACTAAAAACGGATTTAGTGAGTCTAAGCTTATCGCAATAAAAACGCAAGTTCGCCCCGGTAGGGTGTCCACAATAAACATGTCACGCGCGGACACTCTCCCACCGCACTTATCACTGACCATAACGTCCTCAACTTTACAGCCTCCCGATGAACGCGCGCGCATAAATTCAAACGAAACGTCACCCGACGAGATTTTATTTAACAGATCAAGGAAATTGTATCGATATTTCAACGATAATGCCTTCGTGTTACGGAACTGATATCTTTATGTGTACATTCCACGGGTGTTCATACCGTTCCGATAATGCCGTTGCATAAAGTGTTATGCCGCTGAGCGGCTGTTTATTTCTTTGATAAAATAAAATATTGTATAAATCGTACGTTTTATGCATCGGGACGAGATCGCCTCAAAATATTTAGATCATTTATCAGGTCCTGCACTTTTCATAAATACCACGAATGTGAGGCGAGATTGTATTTTAATCACGGCGAAATTAAACAACGATCGAGGAAAATATCGGCTTTCTGGATTATGGGTGCGTTGCACTTGTTACTCGCTCGGGCTAATGTCACTTGACAATAATGTTATGACACAGATAAAATTAACCTTCAGTATTTGCAGCGGATTTTAAAACAGTTACCTTACTGAAGTTTAATTGCCTTCTATATATTTTATGTTACCAAAAAGCGCTAATATGTATTAATAGTAATTAGGTATTTCTAAAAAATACTACAGACACGCCGAGTTTTTACTAACTTAGTTTCAAAGTGCGCTCTCTTAAGTAGTTCACGTAAGTGTTCAATTCATACGTTTGACAATTGTGAATGTAAGCACAAAGAACAATAAAACAACGCCTCTCGCTCAGCTAATCGCGATGTGCTGCGAATAGCGAAAACTTAAAACCAGTTTGCACCATGTAATTCTAATTAGGCAATTCAGGCAGTGGCCGGTACTAATGGGGTCCGTTCGGTACCATAAAGCAAGCGCAATCTGATCGTGTGAACACGCTGTCCCTGTCCGGGCAACATTGGCGAGGGACATGCAACGCTTTGTCACCCTATTGACTATGCACGCACGACATTTATCAGCTCTATCATATGCTGTGTTCCAACTAGCCACTTTGTGCGTATTTGTAAATACTAGGACAACATGAAGAGATGGGTATTTTTAATTTGTCTACCAAACTAAGCCATCTAACTTTAAGATATCCATAAAACGTTTAAAGAACTTCTTGTTTATTTATTGCGTGTTTCTGTCGTATTGTTTTTGTTACGTTTTGGTTACTATAATCTTGTCTGATTTTTTTAGTCATTTTAGGACAATATAACGT